CTAATTTCACAAACAAAAAAGATTGCGTTTTTAATATTCCCAACTGTTGTGGAGTAATATTCGTAAATTGCAGTGGTTTTATCGATTTTAAAGAAAATCAATTAAAGTCGATTGAAATCATAGGAGGTCTCAATCTTAAAATTTCTGGTGTTTTTAATTCCTTGAAAAAAATCACTTCATTTGGAGCTTGGAAAACACTTATCAAAGGACTTCCAAAAACTTGTCGAGTTGAAAATGTCGAAAATTTGAAATTTGAAAATCAAAAAGAAATCGACACATCAAAAGTGAACTTTGAAAACGTCAAAATGTGTCAAATTGGATTTTGTTGTTTCAAAAATGTTGTTTTTTGTGGGATCAAAAACATCAAATTTAAAAGACTTAATTTCAGTTGCGATTTACTCATTTTTGATACTTGTGAAGAGGAAAACCTTAACGAAACGTTTGTAATTGATGTCGTTGATTTTTCTGGGACGGTTGTTGTTATAAGAAATTGCAAAATGAGAGCTTTTATGTGCAAACAAAGTCAATTTGAAACTGCAAAAATTATAATAATGAACTCGACAATATTTGGAACATTTAACACTCATAAATTGTCACTGAGACATTCTTATTTTTATTTTAATAATGAAAATATTGAATCTGTAAAATTCAATGACGTAATTTTCGAAGGAAACAAATTAAAAGTGTTGAATATTACGAAAGATGCAAAATTTGTGGATTGTAAACAACAAGAATTTCAAATTACTAACAAAAATAATGATATTGAAATTGAAATTGTTTTTGAAAGATGTTATAATATCACAGTCAAAAAAGATGGAAAAATTCGTTTTAAAACTATTCGTTGTAGTTCTATTATAATTAAATGACATTCATTTATTATTCGTGTTTTTTACTTTTAAAATTCGGAAATATCTTATATATAGATAAGTTGTATCAATTAACTACATAAAGCTTTACCTTAACATTTTGATAAATAATTATATTTTACGATTTAAAAAAATAACAATGTTCTATTTGCAATACAGACTTTGTTTTTTAACATTCAATCAACGGACAAAATAATAGTTTCTGATGTAAACATCGAGAATTATATGTTTACATATATGTAAGTATTCTCAAACAAATATATACTATTTTTTATATTTTTTATTAACTGCGTTTAAACAACAATAAAAATAACAAAATGTTGCTTAAAACAACATCAATACTGATATAACCAAACTAGCTATTAAACCACAAATGGCACTGTCTGTAGTTGTGACATTTGACGACACCTTTTCTAATTGTAAAGTAAAATACTCGTTATTAAATGTTTCGCAACTGTCAAATTTAAATGCTTCTTTAATGGTATCTGTCGAATTTTTGCACATATTGTCTCGATAATAATACATTGTGACTTCCGTCATTTTCGTTGAAAATTTTTGTGAGCCAACTGGTGTAATAAAACAATTTTCCGCTTCAATAAAATACTTTTCGAGATAAAACGCGTTATCCCCACCGCAGTTAGCAGTTCCAAATGTGATTTTTTTGAAGAAAAATTCTTTAAACGACGATGTTAGCTCAACACGTGGCGAAGCTGTTTCAGTCATAAGAGTTGTGTCTACCTTCGCACAATTTGACGATTTAATAGTATATACCTTACCTCCTTTGACCATCACACAACGATTATAAGTTGTATCAAAAGTGTCTGAATAATAATATACTATTTTCTCTATCATCACTTCATAGTACATATCATTAGTGTCAGTAAGTTGAATATTTTTAAAACCAATTTTAGTTTTATTTCCTTTTTTATTTGTTAAGTTGGGTATATTAAAATGAACTCCCTTTTCTTGTGAATTTACTATTGTGTAAAATTGAGGAGCACTGTATGTCGCTCGCGAATTTTCACCATCAGACGCAACACACGTGTTATAAGTAAACGTTTGAGTAAAATCTTCTTTGTTTTCTATTATGCAATTGACATCATTGTAATTTATGAAATGCACTTTACTGCCATCCACTGATATTTTGAAGTGTAAGCCATCACTTTCTGTGCATCCAAAAGTCGTATAATAATATGAGGGAAGTGCTCTATTTGGGTTGCTACAACTTGTTGATTGGGGGTATGATATTTCCATTAAAATATAAGCTGGAAGATCGTCTAATGTCGTCTCTTCTAATATCGCAGACTCTTTCTTTTGCCAAGTGCCATCAGCATCAGTACATAATCGAGAGAATTTAAGGGAATACGTTTTAATTGTATCCCCTGGTTGAGTAACATCAAAAACCTTTTGGACACGACCATCAACTGTTGAGTAACAAAAGCCAAGTTGATAAACAATGTAGTAATCAGCATATTCGCTGTTTATAATGTAAATCTCTGAAGAAAAAACACACATAAAGAATGTAAAGATAAACATGAAATAAATAATTAATGCTATTTTATTTTGAAGTTACAATTTAAACCAATTAACCATATTGTTCTATTGATTTATTATTTACAATGGTTTTACTTTTTGTTTTGATAATTTGTAGTAAAAATAAAACATATTATTTATTATTTAAATTATTTGATTATAATAGTTAGTTAAAAAACTATT